AGCAAAAAATTTGGGGGTTTAAAAAAATTCAGGAAAGAGTTTTTTTTTCCCAGTAAAAGGAGATATTTAAATTTTTTTTATTCAATCAAGGGTTTTTTCTTTAAAACCCTTTGAAAAATATGTTTCTTGAAATTTAAACTTGTGTTTTTCTCTTTATGAGACTGAGGCCACTTGTCTTTAGAGTTGGAAATCAGGGCCGGCCCTTCAGGACTGGCGGGCTTAAAAGGGCCGGCCCTCCAAGGCTGAAATTTTAAAAATATCTTAATTTGCTAAGCCCAACCCTTAAGCTACAGGGTCAGGGCCGGCTCGCGGGCTTTTGACCCATTTAAGAAAAAAATACTATTTTTTATATTTATCATATTTTTTATAAAAATATAAAGATAAATCAATGAAATTATTAATAAAAGACATAAATATGAATAAAATTAAGTCACAAATATAAAATATCATCATATATAAATATTCATCAACATCTAAGAACATCTAAAACATTTATTAACAAGATAACAACATCTAAAAGTTTTATCTATAATGCAATTGTGCAATAAATAAACACTATCACTAATCTTTTGAAACTTCATCATCACTATAATTAATTACTTTTCTTCATAAGTCTGCTTTTCTTTCGTAACAAAAATATCAAGTTTTTCTTTTTTATAAGAATTTTATTTTTAAATTTTACAATCTAACTATTATTTTACTTTAATGTGAGAAACATTGTTGTTGAAACTCATGAATTTCTAATTCAAATTATAGAATCACAAGTTATATAAGTATAAAAATATTCTATTATCAAATATATATATAGTTTAAAAATATCAACGCATATAATATAAATCAAATTATTATTAAAGTCCAAATTAACTCATTTTTTAAAAATTTAATTAGATAAATTATTGTCTAAAACTAAATTTAATTTTAAAATGATAATAATAACTAAATATTTGAAATATTATTAACAATGTAAAAAATTAATAACATTAATATTATATTAAAAAAATTTTAAAAATAAAAAAATTATAAAAGGGCTTAAAAGGGCTGGTCCTTTTAAGCCCTCGGCCCTCCAGGGCTTATTTCTCATTTTAAGAGAAAAAATCAAGCTCGGCCCTTATAATTTCAGGGCCGGCCCGACAGGATCGACCCGTTTTCCCGGCTCTACTTGTCTTTTCAACAAATAGCTTGTTATTGAATTTAAGTATATTTAATTTTACTAACAATCAACTAAATTCTTATCGCAGAAGGTTTAATAATTAGATTAGAAGAGAGAAGCAAGCAAACTTAATTACCAATTGGTTGGCCAAAACTGTTCTCAATCTGCCCACCACCTCAACTTAGCCATGGAATCGAGACTGTGTGGATGGTAGCATGGATGTTGAAGTTCAGGAAGTTGGCTTATTTATCTAATTTCTGTTCTTATTTTGAGTCCTCTTGGTTTTATAGTTATCTTTGTATGTGGAATTTGTTTCAGTATTGATAGTACTATCATGTTCTTTTCCGGCAAAAAAAAGAGAAGAAGATAAAATAACAAAGAAAAAATCAATTTGTGTTGAAATCAAGCAATTTTTTAAATACAAAAATTAGGAAAACATTAAAAAAATGAAAAAGAATTAAATGAGAAAACGTTGGCTAATTAAAATGATTAAAAAATATAGAAATAAATGTGAAAGATAAAATGTTCTCGCACTATAAGATATGCAGGCCATTTATATGATTTGGAGAATACCTTATAATCTAATGGTAGGGACATCTCTTCTATAAATGAAATATTATGAATTTGATCCAATTTATAGTTTTGAGGCATCGGGGCCTCCACCTGATAGTTTTAGTATACTCGATAACCCTAGAAAAATAATTTAAAGATAAAAATAACATTTAACTCTAAGTTATAATACCCAATTATTTTGGATTGAAGTCCTTTGTTGTCTTGAGATCCTGATAGAAAGAAATTTAGATTTTTTTTAAAATGATTGAGCCATCTAAGGTTTTTTTGAGATAACTTAATCATTTTAAACTTAAGATCAATTTTTATTGGGTTGGGAATGTTAAGATTTAAATCCTTCCAACAAATATATTTTTCAAAATTTGAATTTATATTCTTTTACTTACGGGGTGAGATCACTTATCGTTTTAATTAACAATTTGTTAGTAATTGAGCCATCCAAGTTATAACTTATAATACCATTTAAGTCTAAGTTATAATACCCATTATTTAAATCAGTGTTATTACTTTTGTAACAAGGATCACCACAAAATCTATAATGATTAGTGTTATTACATTTTTTTACTTAACATTTAATGTCTCTTGTTAATATAAAGTTAAATTTACCATGAATTCTATTTAATACAGACTAATTAGTATTAATATAAAATATATAATTTATATTAGATTTTTTTACTTGTACAAGAGAAATTAATTTATTAAGTGTGTATGTATTATTAAAACATGATATACTTATCTCCATTTGGAATCAAGTTTATAATAATCACTCATAAGTATATTTCCCAACTCTTCTCACATAAGCAACCTCTTAACTTATCCAGAACAAAACATGAAATGGGCTGAGCCCATTGAGCTGGCCTATTTAGGCCGAAAATTGTAAAGATTGGATGTGAAATTTTTTCCTTCAAATAAAAAATGAGCTTAAAAGGGTTGGTACTGTAGAGCTGAGGGTTTAAACAAGCCGGCCTGATAGGGCTGAGACCTGACCCATTTAGGTTTTTTTATAATTTTTTTGTTTTTTAAATTTTTTTGATGTAATTATAATATTATTAATTTTTTTATATTATTAATGATATTTCAATATTTAGTTATTATTCTTATTTTCAAATTAAATTTCACAGTTAGCTAAAAAAAAGAAATTAAATTTCACATAATGGTTTGATTTATTTGGTTTTAGATATAATTTATTTAATTAAATTTTAAAAAATGGGTTAATTTGGACTTTAATAATGAGTTGATATATATTATATGTGTTGATATTTTTAAACTATATATATTTTATAAGAGAGTATTTTTAGATGTATATAACTTGTGATTCTATAATTTGAATTAGAAATTTATGACTTTCAACAATAATGCTTCTCAACCTAAAATAAAATAATAGTTAGATTGTAAAATTTAAAAATAAGTTTCCTATAAAAAAACTTAATATTTTTGCAATGAAAGAAGCGCAATTGATTATAATGATAATGAAGTTTCAAAATAAAAGTGTTTGTCTATTATATATTTGCATTGTTGATGAAACTTTTGAATGTTATCTTGTTGATAGATGTTTTAGATATTCTTAGATATTGATGGATATTTAGATATGATGATATTTTGTATGTGGCTTAATTTTATTCATATTTATGTCATCTATTAATAATTTTATTAGTTTATTTTTATTTTTGATAAAGAATGTGAGAAATATGAAAAATAATATTTTTTTGGGTAAATAAGCATCCAGCACCGCAATCTTTATTTTAGTACAATTTTACTCACCAACTTTTTTTTGGGTGCAATTTTACCCATTTGCAACGATCTTCTAACGTCTGTTAACATAAACATTTTTTTTTAATAAAAAAGTCCAGTTTTTAGATATATATTCGAGAAGACCAGTTCTCTAATATATATTTAAGAAACACAAACAATTCATAAAAAGGAAATTTTAACATTGACTATGAGTTGAAATTTAGGTCGGGCGACATTAAAACCCAAAAAACTTTAAGACACCCATAGTTATGGGTGTAAATTTCACAGCAATGTCACCCGACCTAAATCTTAACTCATAGTTAACGTTAAAATTACTTTTTTCTGAACTGTTTGTGTTTCTTGAACATATATTAGAGAACTGGTTTTCTCGAATACATATTTGACGACTAGACTTTTTTTTTTAAAAAAAACATGTTTGTATTAACAAATGTTAGAGGACCGTTGCAAATGGGCAAAATTGCACACACAAAAAGATGGTGAGCAAATTGTACCAAAAAAAATTAGGATGCTAGGTGCTCTTAAAAAAAAGATTAGAATATTGTATGTCCTTTTACTCTATTTTTTTTAATAGACCGAGAGCCCATAGGCCAATACTAAACCCGTTAGTATGAGGCTTTGTTTGGTTCAATGGAGGGAAGGGGAAGGGAGGTTAATTAAGGGGAGGGGGAGGAAGGGGAGGGGAGGTCATGGGTTTTATTTGGTTGGAGGGGAGGGGAGGGAAGAGGAGAGGAGATTTTTTGTTTGGTTCACAAGGAGAGGGGAGGGGATTATAAATTGACAAATATGCCCTTATCTTTATATTTAAACTGATTTATTCTTTTATTATAATATTTATGTCAAAATTATTATTTTCTAATTTATCAATTTAAAAAAAACCAATTACCTCATTTATATGTGATAAAAAAATTATGAAATAAAAGTATAATATATATGAGAAAAGTGAATGGGAGAAAAAAAGACAAGACCTTAACTATATAATAATACCCTCCACATATTAGGAAATAAAAAATACATATGATATTAACAGTGTCATTTTATAATTATAATATATATTAATATATATAATTAATTAATATATTAACATATATACATATTATATTTGTGTGTGTATATAACTGAGCGATCGCGAAAGGGAATCCAAAGGTAATCATGCGAAACTAAAAAAATATCAAGAGGGTATCATTGGAATATTCAAAAAATGGTATGAGCATATTTGTCAAGATTCTCATAATATTTCTCTCCCCTCTAAAAACTCTCAATTTGGAGGGGAGGAGGGGAGCACAAAAGGACATATTTTTTTAGCTCCCCTCCCCTCCCCTCTTCCCAACCAAACACATCTTCCCATCCCCTCTCCTCCCCTCAAAAAAACTCCAACCAAACAAAGCCTAAGCGTTGAGTCTAACAAATTAGAATATTTTAAAAATTTTAGTCACGTAGGGTCGGTTTTTTAAAACCTGCCAACCCTACAGTACTCACCTATATTCCCACCTCCACCGCGGATCAGATTTTCAGATTTTTTTTTTGGGGTCTAAAATAACAATAGCCCCAGCACGTGGCAGCCCACCTTCATCGGGTGCGAGTAACAGTAGCAGATTCGTGTTTGGTTCGGCGTTGAACACTTGGTCGGGCTCGCCGTCGGCCGCCGTTCACCGTTGTCAGCCGTGCGGGGTTGTTGTCCGTCAAGTATTGAAGAAGGTACGAACTTTGTCTCCTCCCAAAATCCGGTGAGGTTGAATTGTTCCGTTTGGCTTTGAATCTAGATTTGAATTTGTTCCCAGCGTCATTGTCAACCGGGAGCCCGACGCCGCCGCAGCGTCTCTTGCTTTGTTTTATTTTTTTTTCATTTTAATTAATTGTAAGATCATAAAATTCAAGTGTTATCATTATGATTCTCCAGTGGCTTGGAGGAGTTGCTTGAATTAATTGGCTTACTGGGAGTTGCTTGAATCAATTGGCTTACTGAGACATCTTCGTTAAAGTATCTGGAATAAAAATTAAAAGGGTATGATATCAACTATGCATATTTCAAAGATTTCAGTGGGGGCATCTGCCCCTTCTGTGTGTGATATAGGTCCGCCTATGCTTACCAGCTCGGCATTTTTTTTATTTGGTCTGATAGAAATTGCTATAGATCATGTCTAACCTTTTGTTACATTTGCCTTTGTCCCCCCCCCCCCGGGGGGACAGTGGGTATTTATCGCTGATACTTGAATTGAAGAGAAAATCAACCTGTTACAAATGAATAATTGCAAATTATATTTGGAGTGACTGGGATGAGAAAGCCTTTACACCGCACATGTCGACTAGTCATTCACTAGTTCCTCGTGCTTTCCAGAAACTTCATCATAAGTTGGTTATCTACTTATGTCTGTTGGAAATGCAGATATGTCTAATTAAACAAAATTCATCCACAGATAACTTATCGGCAGCTTCAAGGAATCCTTGTGGAGTTTGCTAGATGTTCTGAGTAAATTATCATCCTACATGAATCTCTTCAGATTTCGCCAGTTAATCCTGTGTAACATGCTTATGAAGATATCCGACTTCATGTTTGGTTATGTCTTCAGCTATTGTTAAAACAGGTGCTCACTGCTTTGATTTTGGTTGGCAAAATTTTTTTATTTTTATTATTATTATTATTTTTTGGGTAAAGAAGGACTGAGGGAGTTATACTGTCAGACTTCTAGTGAAATTAAGAAGGTATGGCATCGGATAGAAGGAACATAACTGTTGAGATTAAAAACAAAAAGGTCTTGTGAGCTCGCTGCTCACTATGTTTTTCTGTGCATTAAAAAACTGAGTATAATTGCAGGCAAGCCGGTTGTTACGTGCAGAACACTCAGCTAATCCTGCTTTCATGACTACCAAGATGCCAAACCCCCTCGGGCTTGTGATTTCTGCCACTGAATCTATTATCTCATTTCTCTCCGTTGCTTCCAAGGACCCGAGCCTTTCTGAGGAACTCCAGCAAACTGCTTCAAATCTGTTGAGGCAACCTAATGTACCATACATGTCACTTCGTGCCATCTGGATGGCTTCTGATCCATTGACAAGACCTGATTTGATGCAGCTCTTCTCTGGAACCCAGTTTCTCTTCTCCAGTCCCAAGCCCAGAGAGAAGGTAAATTTAAGTTTCATATTTTTCAAATTTACTCACAGTAAATTGTAAAGAATGAACAAACTATTATGCAGGGAACTTCTGTTGAATTTGTATTGCTTGAATCATTATCTGAAATTTTGGTACTATGATGCTTGTTTGTATATGTTCCGGACTGAGTTTACTGAAAGGTTCTGTAAACTCATTTTTGTGTTAACTTGTTTCTATGAGCTGCTTTTGATGTGAAGAGTGAAGAATTGAAGGCGAGGTTGAAAAAACTTGAAGATTTAGCAGAGAAGAAAGCATATCAAGAACTTGTGAAGGATATTGCACCGAAGCAGGATGTCAATGAGCCATTCTCTTCTTACAAGGATCAATTAGGGTTTGGTAAAGTCATGTTCACTTTTACATCTTCTGTCCTGGATGTAATATAAGATTTCAAGTTATGTGGCTGGTAGCTCCATTTTTTGTTCGGTATAAACAAGTGCTTTTAGTAACCACCCGCGATTACCTTGTCACTTTAAGTAAGTGAGACCCATTCAAGTGGCCTTTTTGAAGCTGTTAGAAACTCGTTTGTGAATTTTCTGAATTGAGATTAGACAAGCTTTTCTGTGTTGGAGTAGTAGCTTGTTTCTTTTCAATCTCAACTTTGACTTTGGCAACATCATTCTGGTGGTGAGCAGAATTTACTATACTACACGGTGCTGTCCAGGAACGTTGTGGATTAATCAAATGGTGAAAAATTATTTATGGATAGGGTTTTAGACCAATATGGATCGTCATATAAATTACTAACCCAAGGAGGCTTTATTTTATCCGTGTTTTGGAAGCTGTACCTTCCCGATCATGAGCATGAATATTTAAAATGTTTGGGTTAAACACGCTATACACATTTCTGTTATTAAGCTATGGGTTGTGCGATTTTATTTTGCTCCCAGTCCTTTGTTGGTGATTGAGAGTTTGCCGTTAGAATTAGTGCCAATAACTCTATTGATGTTCCAAAAAATGCGAAATAGGTAATCAAGTATGGCTTGCTCAAATCTGGTAGGGCTGGTCTCAGCCCTTGTGATTCGCCTGATCCTATCATCTACATGTCTGCATAACTCTGATGTAACTCTGATTTTTGTTCTTATTGATCCTTTTTTCAGGATTGCATGTTGCGCTTACTATGTTTACTGGCTATCTGTTTGGATATGCGGCATTCAGAGCTTTGTTTAACCACAATCCTGCTATGGTACTGCCTGAAAACTGTTTTTTTTTTCCAGTGAATTAAAACAATTAGTATTATTTTACAAGCACTTCAGTTTTGTGGTCAATTCCCTTCGCTTTACCGTTTCTTATCTTTGTCTCAGAATGCTGCCGGAGGAGTTCTAGGGTTGGTGGGTGGCATGCTTGTTGAGACATTTCTTTTCATAATCCGAAGTTCCAATGCAGATATAAACAAAACGAGAAGTTCCACTGCGAATATAAACAAAAGAAGTTCCAATCAAGAACTCAAGTCATCCGTTGGCACTTCCAAGTTAAAGAAGAACCAATAGACTTGACAAGATTTGGTGGCTTCTTTTATATTTACATTGACAAATTGACCTGATAGAGCAAGGCAGCAGAAATATATATGCTAGTCCATACAAAATATTAAATGCTGTGTCAGTTTTTAAATATAGTGAGCAAACTATAATTGATCTGTTACCCACTGGCTGTACCTGTGATTTTTCAAGGCCCAAGGAATTGGAATTTTCGTGGACCAAACTGGAATCAGTAAGGTGGTTTTCCATTGCAGCACGGCTTTTGGGATCCTATGGGATGAGATAATTACACTTTGAGCAACATTTCTATTTTGTAATTTGTATTGAATATGGAAATTTCAAGGGAGCAGACTGGAGATTTGATCGTAATCGTGTGTCCAACTCGAGACTCTAAAGAAAGGCCCCGGAAGTTGGTTGTGTTGCCAAGTTCATTCACAAATCTTTTACTCTGTTGCTTAAGTGATAAATAGTAATAATTATATTTTTAAAAGGTGTTTGGATTTGTCAAAAAGTACTTTTCAAATTGAGATAAATTCTTTTACATATTTTTTTCGTATACCGTAAAATTATTTTTAAAGTCATGGTTTAGTTTTCATCTAAATGCCTTTTTAGTCGTAAATTTACAATGTATTAAGTGGTAAATAAGATTAATTATATTTTTAATTGTAAATTTGCTGTATGTAAATTTATGTTATGTGAATAACAAATTTGAAAGCGTTCTTAATAATTACCTTATGAATTTGGTATTTCAGGACAATTCTACTTCATAAAATTGATTAGAAAATTACAATCATTTTTAAATTTTAAATTATTATCCCGTTTTCTCAATTTCTAAACCGTGGATGCCAAATTGAGCGCCATCCCGACCCCGAACGGTCCTCAAGTTGCCTTCGCCGCCCTTATCGTCCTCAACTGATCCTAGGGTTTCTGGAACAAGGCTTCATAGGTTTCTGATCCTTTCCTTTCAATCGAAAATGGGGAAGAAGAAACCCAAGGAGCCCAAGGAAACCCCTAAAAGCAGCGGTGCTTCCGACATATTTAGCAAGCTATTTGGTAATGTATCGGAACAGGGCGCCAGCTCTTCTCTGTTCTCAGATAGCAACCCGTTTCGTAAGAAACCTCTTGAAACTAGTTCAAGTTTCGGCCTAACCAATAATACTGAAAACGCTGGTAGCGCGGTCTCCCATAGCCCCGATTCTGAAGTTTTGAAGAAGACGAAGAAAAGGAAAGAGAAGGACTCGTCTATTGATTCAGATAATGCCTTCGAAGCTTCGGGGAAGAAGTCGAAATCCGGTTCCGACTTGAACTCTCATTCGATTCCCAAATCAATTACAACACCGCAGGATGGCGAGGCCAAAGTGTCTGATTTGGGTGCACAGGCGACTGCGTTATCGAAGAATAAAAATATTGTGTCTGAGGAAGGCGAGGAGAAAGGTGAGCTTGTAAATGGTGACAAGGAGAAGAGAAAGAAGAACAAGAGAAAAAGGGACGACGTTGAGAAAGAGTGGGAATTAAAGAGGTATGGGGCAGTAGAGGAAGAGCAAGATCACGGGGAAGGCTTGGAGAAAAATGTCGTTGGGACCAAGAGGAAGACGGTGGATAATCCTGCTGACATGTTGGTAACGAATGAAGGTTTTGATGATGAGAAAAAGCTCTTGAGAACGATATTCATTGGGAATTTACCGCTCAAAGTGAAAAAGAAGAATTTATTGGCGGAGTTTAGGAAATTTGGGGAGGTTGAATCTGTGAGGATTCGTTCTGTCCCAATATTAGATGTAGGTGTTCCTTTTCTCAATTGATTTATTTAATTTATGCTCTTTGCTACCTTGTAAAGCCTCAATTTTTTTTGTTGGTTTAGATCCTAACTTTATTTTTTGTTTATAATTGATCAGACCAAAAAACCTAGAAAGGGAGCCATCCTTGCGAAGAAAATCAATGATGCTGGTGATAGGTAATGCTTTTGAACAACCGACATCATCTCAAATAAAGTAGTTTGCTAATTCTCTGTAGAAAATGGGGTTTTGTATGAATGATTTTTAGTATTTATTTTAATGTTTCTACTACCCAGTTGAAGCCTGTTTGTTTAGGTTCGGAAAAATCATCCTCGCCGAATTTGATGCTTGGCTATGGAGAGCTAAGAAAGTTTCATTTGTATTTTCTGAAAATCATGTTTCTTAACGGGGAAATTTTGACTTTCTTTTAATTTATTAACTTTGCTTTGGGCGATTTAAAGACAGTCTGATATGAAGACAGGGACATTTCATGTTGGGCATACTTTTGAATTCAATTCAAGTAAACTAAATGTTTTCAGGCTGTTAAATCTTCTCATCTTAATGATGGAAAATTATCTGGCAATATGAGAAATTTTGCTGATCAATATATTTCAAGTTCTTGGAAACAATGTACTTAGTGTTAGATATGCAGTAACTTTGAGGCTGTTCTCCCCTCCTCCATCCATTTAGTGTTATTCTCAATGATCCCTAATTTTGTGCAAATCTAGTAGTTGGACATCTACTATGATTCTTTCTTTAATTTAAGTTGATTGTTGGACAAACAATTGCGTGTTGCCCAGGAACTTGCTTCTGTGTATCTGATTGAGAAGTGGCCTGACCTATACAGGAGAATATGTCGTTTATAATTTGATGCCTATATGTATGAAATAACATTAATACCAGTCCGATTAATGTCTCTTGCAGAAAGTTAGTGGAAATTGTTTTCAGATTTCTTTTATTCTCGGTGTATTGTATCATTAGACATTTCTAACTGACTACTACTGTATTTTGTAGCGTTCATGCATACATTGTTTTTAAGACAGAGCAGTCAGCTCAGGATTCTTTGTCCCATAACATGGCTGTGGTATGGTTTTTGTTCATCAAAGTTCACTGATAAAAAACTTGGGCTTGCTTATTATTTTGGGGTTGCACGTTTGCGTATAAATGTTTCGTTTTGGTTTTTCATTACGCATGTAGATCGGAGGAAATCACATACGTGTTGATAGAGCATGCCCACCTCGCAAGAAACTTAAAGGAGAGCATACTCCTCTGTATGATAACAAGAGAACTGTTTTTGTTGGCAACCTCCCATTTGATGTAAAGGTATGTTTCCTTTAGTGGTTATTTATTTGAGGTCATAGGCTTCCACTGTTGCCACTGTTGTTGCCTATATTTATAATTTACTAGTGAATATAAGGTTATTCTTCTCTGCAGGATGAGGAACTCTATAAACTATTCTCTGGTACGTCCAACCTGGAATCCAGCATAGAAGCCGTTAGAGTCATTAGAGATCCTCATTTGAATATCGGGAAGGGTATCGCCTATGTGCTGTTTAAAACAAGGGTACGATCGTTTTCTTTTAAAATATTTTTGCGTTGGGAGAATGTGAGACTCCAGAACATTGGAAACATAAAAAGTAGATAGCTCAATTATTAGGCAATGTGAGGAGATGGAGAATATCTGTAAGATCAAATGATCATGCAGAAGTATGCTGGGAATGAAATGAAGTGGGATAATTTATGTCAGCAATAGAGTGAATTAGGAGGATTGGGGAATATAAAGACGAACCTGCCAACTGGGTTATACTATTTTGGTTGGAAAAAAGAAGAAAGGTTATAGTTATATTATTAACTGTGGCATTGTGTTGATTTTTGTTACTTTGTGCAACTTATTGCTCCTTGATTTGAACGAAATGATTTAGATTAAAATTTGTCCTTGATGGGATCAGAGGCTTAGGTAGTTTGAGAAATGTCGTTGGGGATGAATTATTGTAGGAAATGGCCTCAGTTCTGCCAAAGCAAGAAGAATATTTGGACTTTGTCTCCAGGTCCTGTTACCTGAAACCTAAATTTGTAAATCTCACTGAATACAATTATATCTTGTAAATGCAGGAAGCTGCTAATTTTGTTGTTAGGAAACGTAACTTAAAGCTCCGAGACCGAGAGCTGAGACTGTGTCATGCAAGAGCGGATGCCACCCCATCCAAAAGGCCAAACTTGTCCCCACCACAAGCTTCTGGTACCCCTGCGAAGAAGGCGACGATGGCTGCAAGGTCTCCTTCAAGCGGTAATAACAGGACAAATAGAAAATCCAATATGTCTTACCAAGGTTTGCGGGCAAACAAAACAGTTGTCCATAAGAAATCAAAAACCCACGGAGGTGAGCAAACGACAGAGCGCAAGACGAAAAGACCAGCAGTTGCTGCCAGAAAGACTAAACTGAAAGCTAAATTGCTCAAGGAAGACGGTTCATCAAAACATGCAGGAAAGAAACGCAAGCTTGATAGTCGAACTCCAGACAGCTCTGTACAAAGTAAGAAAATTAAGAAGAATAGGTAGCAGTGTTGTCATAGTATCGAGGTGCTCTAATGCCTCAAGGAGACACATTAAAAGATGAATTGATCAGCTTTACTTTATTTCCATTTTGTATTGAGACTTCTGATGTGGTTCAATAGAGAAATCAAATCGAATCATTTGAGTTTTGTTTTGAAAATGAAGAAAATTACGTGGAAAAAATATGAATGATGATGTTATGCCAATAATGAATTCCTGTTTTTAATATCGACACTTACAGTGGCAAGCATGCCTTTGATTTTTAGAATTCAAAATTAGTGCTATTAGTTCAGTTGCCGTCGCGAGGGAATATGGCCATGCGCTTATTTCTCCCTAAACATGGACCTGCTAACTTAACTTTCGAAAGAAGAGGACTACGACGACTAGTTAATCCTAAAAATGTAGATATGTTACAGAAATAATCCATGCGAAAGTAAAGAAATTTTTATCCAAAAAATTTAATCCTAAAATATCCAAAAAGGCACTAGGCAAAGGGTGACATCGAACTGGTAAGTAGTAAATACCCTATTCCAGTCCTATCCATTCATTTATTGACGAGTGGGAAACTAGTTTCATGGCTCTTTTTTTCTTAATTAACTGGGAGGAGCGCCATATTCCAAGGAATCATGAAAGTTCCACTACTTCGTTGGAGATATTTACAAGGGAACTTAGAACACAAAGCATGGAATACTTACTGTATATAACTGATGTTCCCCTTGGATGATATGAAACCACACTGACTAAATGGCATAAAGCAACCGAGGTATATACACTAGTCATGAAGCGAATGCCTTACAAATTCCCACCTTATCAACACTTTATGTGAGTACGTGACTATACAACCGAAGGTGAATTTGGAATTTCTGAACCCCAATAGCAACCATTACAACAATTAAACCTAATGCTTAACGTTTCCTCCTCCATGATCATCTTGAATTACTGCAGCATTTGGCAACATAATCCATAAGCAGGGAGCCACATTGTGATCGTTTCGGGTAAATCTGTACAGTCCTGAATTAGAGAACCATTGGCTGTCAGGAAAACAAGAGCCTCATGCCCAAGAAGCTTCAGAAACACTACGACTTGGTAATTAGTGTAGGTGTAACTGAAACAACTCCTATGAGAAATAATGTAGCAATTGAGTTGAAATCATATAGATCTCTCAACGATTGCAACTCTCCAAGAGCTAGCCCAGCCTGCACATGTAACAAAATTGGATAACTCAGCAATTGACTTGAAGGGAAGGAGGCAAGGAAGGATATGAATTAGGCAACATATGAAGGGGACGATACCCCCTCCAGTCCAAGAAGCAATTCTCCAACTTCAGTTTTCAAGTTAAACAGCTTTTAGATACCTTGACAGTCACATAAGCAGCAGGTATGAGTCCAATAACAGTGGCCAGAAAGAAAATGTGATATGGCACATCCACTATTGGTGAGGCAACATTGATAAATGTGTTAGGCAAGGTTGGAGTCAGTCTCAGAAAAAGCATGTAGTTCAACAAACGCTTTCTCCTTTTAGCAACCTGGGAGTAAAAAGCATAATTTAATTCCACTTATAGAATGGATTCTATCCGAATTGTAGGAGAAGTTGAAACAAACCTGGTCCTGAAAGAACTTTAGCTTGTCTGGCCAAAGAGAGAAAACGAGGGGTCGCCCAATCAGTTTTGACAGGAAATAGCAAGATGAAGCTCCAGCTGTGGCATTGAACACAACTAAAGCAACACCTCTGAATACACCGAAGAGTGCTCCAGCAAGCAACGACATGAACACAGTCCCCGGAATCATGAAGGTCTGCATGAAAATATATACCACACAGTAACCTACCAAGACCTGTGCAGTGTAGTCACTTGTGTAGTTCTCAAGGTGGCCTCTACAAAAACAAAAACAAAGAAAAGACAAGAAAGATTGGATAAACCGTTGCAAATTATACTTCATCGACTTCCCTTGCCAAATTCAGTACCATTATCCAATATGCACACTATATATGAAAAGAAATATGCTTCACATCAACTATAAAAAAAACGCACCCCCCGATCTAAGATGACAATTAAAGGACAAACATCATGTGGAAAAACATGAAGACACCCTCCTCCCAGCAAGTCCCCAACACAACATGGCGCCAGCTCACCGTCATTAATACAATGATGAAAAATTTAGGTTGACTCCATTCTACACGAAGCTTTGATGTCATTGCATCAAATAGTTCCATTATCAATCAGTTGGATTACATGCATCATGACAGCATAAAATATACCCCCCCCCACCCACCCACCCAAACAAACCCCACCCCGGGCCCAAACACCCAAATGAAGATGCTAAGAGTAGAACTGCCATTGATCCTTCACTTCAAAGCCTACATCTTGATGAAAAACACACAACTTGCAAGAGTGTTATTCAACAAGATTCAAGACAAGCACCCCGGAAACATCAGAACAGATTTCACTTCATCTCATTCACCAACGAAAGACTCGAGGATGTTTCTGAACTAAAATGCTTAACACCCTAATAAGTCTAAATGAAAGATCCGGATAGCAACTGGCAGCATCAATATATTTCAGAGGCCCCGCATGTGTTCTCGTGTATTTTACAGATAAAGATGCTCTTAAATCAACTCTTAGCAGCACATCATATTCCCGCCAATAATCTCTACTTCTTAGTCTCCCTTCTATAATGACACCTCACATGTCATTGTCCTTTTTAATAATTTTCAAATAAGTACTTCTTTCAAGATTTTGGATCCATCTCAAAAGCATTTTCAGATCTACTTTTCTCCAAGCGCTAACAAAAAGAAGGAAACAGGGGTAGGGGTAGAATTAAAACTTGCTTGTTTAAGATTAACAAGGTCGATGTGACTCTTTTAAGACAGTTAATTGCTAGGTTTCAGTGACCACATTGTTTCTAAAACTAATCCTTCCACGCCAAAAACCAATGGAAGGTCGAAGCAAAGATGCAAATCCCAAAGTTTACCCAAATGATTTTGAGCGATCATTACTATTTAAAAGAAATGATCCTTTTTCTTTTGCGTCAGATTCAACAGAAGAAAAAAATTTCGACGCAGAGAGAAATCAGTAAAAATATTCCCCAGAAAGGTAAACGTCTGATCCAAAACATCAAAACATATTAGCCACGGAATAATACATGGAGGTAAAATTTGGTGTGTTCCAGTCATAAAACAGAAGGGAGAGAAAACAATATCATTACCGTAGGACTTGAAGATCTTCGAGGCTACGAGGGAGCTTGAGGAAGCTATAATCGGAATCAGGAATGGTCAGGTAAACAGAGAGAAGACCTAACACAAAACCCAATACCACGGTTGAAGCCGCAGCCGCTTCCCAAAATCTCAACCCAACAACCTTTGATTCCGTATGTTCCGCCATGACATTGCGCTTGCCCTCCTTCCCTTCCATCCAGCTGCAATCTGCAATATCCGAAAGAGAAGGAAAAAGGCAAAGGAGAAGAAGGGGAAGGGAATATGGTCCTATACCCTTCTTCCTGGAGGAGCTACTCTTCCTTGTTCTTCGTGTCTTCCTCCTCCTTTGAGTCGCCTCTCTTTTCTTCTCTCTCCCTTTATCTTCGGATGAGAGATATACCAGATGACAGAGAGAGAGGAGAGAGAATATTCCCTTCTTACAGTTTGCAAGATCCAAATGAAACAACTAACAAATGAATTCTCTGTCACATGACAACAAATTCCCGCATTTGCAAAACCTTTGAGCTGTTTATAAATTTGGTATAAAAAAATTGGAGCAATAAAGTTTGGATTTTTTTCCCCAACAAATCATATGTTTGATTTTGATCATATACTGCGGTTCCTGTTTGCAAATTTAAGGTTTTTTGTTTATTAAGTTTGTTAATATTAATAAATGATTATAAACATATGAGATCTGAGTTTTTTTCCCCAAACGTACACTATTTGTTTGCTTTTATATTCTCTTTTATTACTTGAAAAAAAAATCTAACTACAAATATAGTAATTTTTAATTATCGTATCAATATATTATAATAAAATACTCCCTCCGGTCTTAATTATAAGACCCAATTGACTAATTTAGAGAGATTAATGAATTTAGTTAAGTTAGTTATTTATAATGAATATGTGTTATTTTTTTTAAAATATCCTTGTTAATCAAATTTGTTATATAGACCTACTATTATTAGAGGGATTACTTTAGAAAAAATATATAAATATGAGAGACAAAGTGAATTAGAATCTTATATTTAGAACCAAAATAAAAGTCAAACAAAATCTTGTATTAAAAACCGGAGGTAGTACTTTACTACCACCACTGAATTGCCATAAATATATGTATGAACCTTTTATTCTGTTCCCATTCAAATTAATGATCATGAATATCATGTATTTAAATTCAAATCTGCAAATAACATGCCAATTCTTCCATTGAAAAAACTAAATTAACATTATACTCCTCCGGTCCTAATTATAAAACCCAATTGACTTATTTGAGGAGATTAAGGAAGTAAGTTAAGTTGGTTATTTATAATAAATAAGTGTTGTTATTTCTAAAATATCCTTGCTAATTAAGTATATTGGCTAAAACTATCATTATTAAAAGGATTATCTTGGAAAAAAATGCATAAATATAAGAGAAAAATGGATTGGGTCTTATAATTAGGACCAATAAAAAGTCAAATTGGGTCTTATAATAAGGACCGGAGGAGTATCCAAATATACATGTGTATGTGTATATTAAAAAAATCTTTATAGTTGTTAAATTAGTGTATAAAATTAACCATCGATTTTTTAACCTTCAATTGTCCGTATATGAAAAATTTATGCTCTTGTTATTAATAAAATTTTAAATGCAAAACTTCTTTCCAATTTTTGCTTGAATTTGTGGGTATTCGCTATTGTGTATATTTGTGCAAAATTCTTTCATTAAAAGTCAAATTTCAACTGTTTAAATCAATCATCAATATACTTCTTAAAAAAGAATATCACTTAATAATCTGAGTATGTGACACATTCCTATGATATCCAAAACGGGGAAATAGCCCCTCTTTTTTGTTATTAAATTTAAAACGTTATTTGGTCCGACACGCGTCTTCTAATGTCTTATTTCTTTTTTCCACCTATTTGATTACTCACGCAATAAAATAAAATAATTCAGAAAAAGATATCAATAAAATAATTCTCTAGTGGCAGGCAACGTTCTTTTCTTTCTTCAGGCCGAAAAAACAGTTGCTTCTTTGTTTCTTTTTAATTTGTTTTCTTCTTACTTGTTTTTTTTTTTGATATACTGGAACTAAGTTTTCTTACTTGTTATTGCCAAGTAATTTTTATAGATTTATATTCATTCTGGCCTTAATGTAAAATTTATTTAAATAATTTAATTAAATAAAAAAATTAGATAAGTTAGCTATTTAAAAAAAAAAGGGGAGAATCCCATTTAAATCTAACTGAAACACTAAAATTCAAAATTAGACATGTACTTTGAACAAATTCATAATCATGCCAAGAGATCTAATTAGGGATTTATAAATATTGTTAAAAGTTTAGTATACCCTTCTATGGTTATAATATTAGTTGTTACCTCTATATTTTCTTCCTCAATGATTCTTTCCTAAAAAATTTTTGCTAGATTTTCTTAATTTTGAAAATAGTAAATCTTTAGTAGATGACAGAAAATTACAACACAATTACCGATTCACATTAATAGTTACTCCAACACCCTCATCAATATAATAGTGTAAGTCATTGTTAGATTTTAATTTTTGGAGGAGTTTAATTTGTGTTCAGTTTTAATATTGATCCATCCTCCATATGCACGCAATTTTTTTAGTTAAAAACGTGCATTTTTGATAATGTATATTTTAAGAAAAAACTTATTCAAATAACGAACTTTTTACAGTTTTTTTAGAATGCTAGAGTAATTGTTAATGTGCATCGAGGAAAATGTTATAATTTATTATTTTCATATTTCAAAAAAAGAATTTGTAAGGAAAAAAATAAAAGTAACAACTCATATTTTAATTATAGAGGGGCATTTTGGTCTTTTAACAATATTCATAAATTTCTAATTAATCCTCCTAACTTGATTAGGAATTTATTCAAAATGAAAGCCTGATTTTAAATTTTAGTATTTCAACTTGATTTAAATGGGATTCTCTCTTAAAACAAATGATATATTTTTTGTAGAACACTCATCTTTCTTAATTTTTTTTTCTCTTTTACTTGATTATGTGAGAAAAAATATCAATAGGAATAATATAAAAATTCATAAATATGATAAATAAGTTTTATATTTAAAATTAAAATTAATTTAATAATTAAATTTTATATTAAGCATAGAAGAAGTATTTCAATTTGCTTTTCCGATTGAAATTGAGCATTATTCTTTTTGTCAAGTGAAATGAAAGTAGCTCGCGAAACACGGCAAAGCATTTCGTACTGTGAAGTGACCACTGGTTTGGCACATTTTATCCTCCGCATTAATCTATAACCATTTTTAACATTCAACATTACTGATATTCGTAAACCATAATCATTAAAAATTTCAACATTCCAGAAAATAATTACGAAGTAAACTACTACTTCAGTCTTTAGTATAAAAATTAATTGATTAATTTGAATAAATTAAAAAATTAGTTAAATTAGTTATTTGCGGTAAATATGTGTTGCTTTTCTTAAAATACTCTTTTAATCAAGTATTATTTAATGAAGCATTTAATATGTGCAACTATTATAAAGATTATTTTAAAAAAAGAATAAATATGAGAGACAAAGTAGATTGAGATTTTATATTTAAGACTAAATTAAAAATTAAAAAAATTATATAAAGAACAGGAGGTAGTATAAATTTATAATAAAGAAAAAATAATCTATCTTATTTTTCTCCTGATCCGTGAAAATGTATGTTGCGCCATTT